TCTACAATATATATAAATATATATTTCGAAAAATCAAAATATATGTATTTATATATATATATTACGGGTAGAAATAAAATAAATAAATTTAAAATTCATTTTCAATGATTTATTTAAGTCCAATACTTATTCCAAGACTAAATAAAATCATTTTACCAATTTTTGAATTTTAATAATTACCAAGTTAAAACTTTGACTTTTTAAATTTTAAAAGTCAAACGTAAAACTATAGTTTTGTACGTTGGCTCTGATACCACTGAAAGATAACCATGCAAGGATATGCAGCGGAATACAAAAATTTTTAACATCCTAACATGATTATCTTGCCCAGAATCACGTACTAAAACAAATAGTGAGTAAGAAATTTATACATTTCTCCGTAAGCGGTAAAAACGAAGAAGTCATAGGAAGAGCATTGAAAGTGTAAACGTAACCGTTCAAGCGTCCGGTCTCCAACTTTGACACACAAACAACGCCGGAGTCTACCACAATCTTTATGCTAGTAAAGATTATAGTAGTATAAAATATAATGATTAAAATTGGGATAATAATAATCTTGTATATTTCTTATAGAAAATATTTCTAATAATAATTAGAAAATATATACATATTTTCTATACATAAAATCATATTAATAGAACATAAAAAAAAAATTTCTCACTAGAAAAATTATGGCCGAATGACACACACATAAAAATGATAATCTTCACCCTTTATTTATTTCATGTGCCGTAGGTGTAACCATTTAAAAAGAAAACAAAAGATTACAAATTGATTAATCATACTTTGTCATTAAGCAAAATGTTAAAACACTATTAGCTCCACTAAAGAATCAATCAAGAAGAAAAGTTTATTCAATAATCTCCACTTGGCCGTATGTTTGATTGTGAGAAGGATTTTTAAAATTCTTCTCCACTCAAATGTTCAAAGTGTATTTTATTTGACACTAAAAATTAATATATAATTAATTTTAAAACAAATAAAAATACCAATATCATTTTTAAACAAGTATAAAATATAATTTAAATAGTTTATGTCAAAATAATTCTTTTCATAATTAAAATGACAAACCAAAATAAAATTTTTAACATATTATATATATACATACATACATACATACATACATACATATATATATATATATATATATATATATATCTATTAATCAGTACAAATATATAATATATATATATATAACCGAATATATATAATATTATATTCCAAAATATTTGTAACACCCCAATCCGTATAACTCGGAATTTACACGAATTAAGGTGAAACGAGAGTTAAATAAAAATTTCGCTTGACATTTGAAAAATACAATTACTTATAAATATTAAATTTACAGACTCTGGATCGCGACCCATTTAAAAATATTTTCAGAGTAATGCGGAAGTACAATAATAATCAAATCATGAAACATTTAAAATCTGATGACCAAACATTTGCCTGCCATCCTTGCATCTCCTCTGAGTCAATGCCCTCCGGGAGTGGTTCCATCATTGTCTTCTTATTACCTACGTAAAGTCAACGAAAAATACAAACTACACGCTCAGCGAAACCGCTGAGTGGTACCACGCTAGAATTGTAGAATGATTCACAGAAATATACATATACATATATATACGTCCACAAAATGTATAGTAACATTCATGATGTGGCACATTTGCCTGCCATCCTTGCATCTCCTCTGACTCAATGCCCTCCGGGAGTGGTTCCATCATTGTCTTCTTATTACCTACGTAAAGTCAACGAAAAATACAAACTACACGCTCAGCGAAACCGCTGAGTGGTACCACGCTAGAATTGTAGAATGATTCACAGACATATACATATACATATATATACGTCCACAAAATGTATAGTAACATTCATGATGTGGCACATATTATCATATGGTCAATTTGATGAATCATGATGATAAATATTTAATGATAATTACATGATGGCACATTTAATCAATTTGCTTGTGAGGATGATTACATGATACCTATGTAATCAATATACTTTTTCTTGATGATGATTACATGACACCTATGTAATCAATGTAATTGTACTTGATGATGGTAACATGATACATGATCCTATAACTTGCAAGGACACTCTTGCGCTATGAGATTCGCCCATTTGGTACGACGAACTCACGCGGCCTTAGTCTCACGAATGAGGTGAGACTGGAAAAATAGGGGTGGTACCCGGAGACCTGAATACCATGTACGTACACTAAGCCCGAACTTGTGATGTCGGATTACTAAGTCCCGCACAATCACGCTATAAGAGACGCACTAGGCATGATCTCTTACGCATGCACATGATGTGATATGCTTCAATATGAGTGATGAAATGAATGATATGATGTGAACAATTTGCAAACAATATGAATATATAATCATGCATTAGTTTATTTGGATGAAACATGATTAAAATATCATTTGATCAAGCTACTGGGTTCCGTACGGTCGACCATTTAGCATAGCGGTCGACCGTGCTTAAAATTATTTCGTCAATCTCAGATCACCGTGACGGTCGACCGCGGTTGACCGGCGGTCGACCGTTGTTGGCTGACTGGTACGGCGATCCTCGGCTAGGCAGGCGGCGGTCAACCGTCAGCCACCCGCGGTCGACCGTTTGGCTCACAGTCGTGGTCCGTTTTTGAAGTTAAATACACCGGTTGACCGTTTGTGTCGACCATTTGGGTCTGCGAATCTTACTCTTGATATTTTGAGTGTCTAAAATACTTCTTTAAGTCTTTTAAACACCTTTAATTAACCTATACATGTTGTTGGGTTGATTTCAAATGTTTATATATACTTGTGTGTGTGTGTGTGTGTCTATATATATATATATATATATATATATATATATATATATATATATATATATATATATATATATAAACTTTATGGATTTGGTGTATTTTGGTCTTAACACATAGATGACATATATAAGTATCACATATACATTTTAGAGATAGTTTCAACATATGGATTAACATATATGTTCATGTATGTATGTGATGAATGATTCGACAAGTCTAACGCAAAGGTACAGACCTGGAAATCATCGGTCGAAACCTTACGGATGATCGGTAGTGGAAACAACAACGGAATTCACCAACTTTGTCATTCTCGTCACAATCGGACAGCCTGCCTTGTTTTGGGCATATCTCCATCGTGTCTTCACGGAATCGCAAACCGTTTAATCTTATTGATTGCTAAGATGTAAGGCTATAACTTTCGTATAGAAAGTATTTTGAGATAATGAATCCAAAGTAGCGTAAATCGGACCTGAAGTTAGGGGAAAGTTGCTGTCCAGGATTTTTAAATACTCCGGTGAACAACGATTCCGATGATTAACCCATTAACTTCAATATTCCAACACCGAACCTTCTCTACGATACCTTCCGGATGTTCCTAATAATTGTTATAGAGTTTATGGTGAGTTCTTGGAATGAAACAATATGAATTTGGTGAAGAAACATATGCCAACCTGAGGAGCTCGCCACCACTGCTGCAATCCCGGTATTTTGGCCATATCTTCTTCGTTACTCAACAAAATCGCGAGCCGTTTGTTGGGCTGGATTCGTATCGTCCGGGGCTACACTTTTGGTTCAAGAAATATTTCGAAATAATGGATGGAAAATTTCAGTTTTTACCTCAAAGTGGACTGATGTGTTTTGGTTTCGGGATTTGGAAAGTTTGGATGGTTTTCTTACTCTTTCTTATTCTTCCTTAACATACTACCATGGAGTTGGAGTTTTCTTTTCTTTTTCTTGTTCCTTCCGAGAGAGAGAGAGATGGAGAGGAGATGGATGCATGAATGATGGTGGATGATAGTGATGATGTATAATGATGAAAATTGTGGTGAAGTACTATATATTTATTCTTGGAGTGTTGTGTTAGTGGAGAATAAATGGGGTGGCTAGTGGGGAACATGGGCTGCTAGGAGTTGATCCGTGATTGTGTAGGAATCTTAGAAAATGAAGTTTGGCTTTTAGTCCAAACTGAGTAGTTTACCCCAAACGGTACGCGCTTTTTCGCCCAAACTGCTCTGAATTCAAAACGGATTGCGTTTTTGGAATCAGACTGTCAAAACTAGAATTTTGACGTAATCAAAATATTTTTCTGAGAACTTTTATTTTTCTCAGTTTTCGAGTCTGTCTCAGTCATAAATTAATTTAATTATATGAATGAGATAAAAATATACGAATTAAATCCAAATGATTAATATGATGTTGTCAAGTGTCAAAAATTAAGATTTCTAATCCTATGAAATCTCTTTTTGAATTGAGTTTATTTAATGGGTCAAAGTTATAAATTTTAATATTTAAAATCGTCATAGCTTGTAATCTATAAATCAGATTGGCTCAATAAATGTACCGTTGGATTCGTCTCTTCGAGACATCTCCATAAAAAATAAGTTTTTAACAAAAAGTCATTATTTTGAAAAACCATTTATTTTTGGTCAAACGTATAAATATTCCTTATTGGACTAAAACTACTTTTGTTTTATAATAAACTTTAGGCCATATTTTGTGGCGTTACATTTCTTCCACCCTTAAATAAATTTCGTCCCCGAAATTTCCTAAGGCGAAGTCATATAAAAAGATGATGTACAAAATCTTGAATATTCGTTGTTCTTGTAAAACACTAATTTTGATAAATTGATTTTTCTTTGTTTTGTTGAGTGTCATGATTATGACATGTTCTCTTTCGAGAAAAGATATACGAGGATGATGGAGGTAACGTATATAGATTTCTTTCATGAAGACTTGTATCGAATATACTCTTAGGCTTGCTTTTGTCGTGTTTGATAGGTAACCATGCAAGGATAGGCAGCGGAATATAAAATTTTTAACATCCTAACATGATTATCTTGCCCAGAATCACGTACTAAAACTTATAGTAGTAAGAAATTTGTACCTTTCTCCGTAAGCGGTAAAAACAAAGAAGTCGTAGGAAGAGCGTTGAAAGTGCAAACGTAACCGTTCAAGCGTCCGGTCTCCAACTTTGACACACGAACAACGCCGGAGTCTACCACAATCTTTATGCTAGTAAAGATTATAGTAGTATAAAATATAAAGATTAAAATTGGGATAATAATAATCTTATATATTTCTATAGAAAATATTTCTAATAATATTTAGAAAATATTATAGATATTTTCTATACACAAAATGATATTATTGGAACCCCAAATAATCACTTTCTCTCTCTAGAAAAATGAAGTGGCCGAAAAATTACACTTGCATACATGAAGATGATTATCTTCACATCTATATAAAAAAAATTTGTTCAAAGTGCCGTGTAATCAATTAAGTAGAAAACAAAACATTACAAAGTTATTAATCAAACTTTGTCATTTAGCTAAAGGATAAAAATAATAAAACTATGTCAAAGATTGATTTTTGATCCTTTAAATCACTATGGCCGAATGTTTGATTGTGAGAAGGATTTTCAAAATTCTTCTCCACTCAAATGTTCAAAGTATATTTTATTTGACACCAAAAATTAATATAAAATTAATTTTAAATTAAATAAAAATACCCATATCATTTTTAAACAAGTATACAAATATACTTTAAATAGTTTATGTCAAAATAATTATTTTCATAATTAAAATGACAAACCAAAATAAAATATTCAACATATAATATATATATATATATATATATATATATATATATATTTCGGTATTTATATATATAAATATATCACCGAATGTTTTACATATATATAATATTATATTTCAAAATATTTTATTTTACTATTTTACAAATATACAAATTACTTATTATCCCATTGTTTAATCCTACTCCTTAAATTGTTCAAAGTGTGTGACCCGTATAGGCACTTATAAAGCTGGCCACAGTATTTGCTCTGCACCAATAGTATAAGCAATAAGCGGTATCTAGCAACACATTATTGCCCCCAGATTATAAGTTAAGACGTTTGCACCGTCAAAACCTTTCCACGACTCAGACTCCGTGTAACTGTATCCCTTTGTCTCAATGTCTAAACTTAATGCAAGGGATTAATAAAATCCAACTTGTATCCATTAAGTCATTCACTGATTTATCAAGTCTGACTGATAGGAACAGACGTCATAAAAACATCTCAGCATGGCCATGCAATTTCCTCAATAATAACTTATCAGTGGGCCCCATAAGACATTAATCTCTTAAAAAGAGTAGTGACAAATCCTATGTACGTAATCTACGTTTCTGAATATGCGCTGCGGCATACCCAAAACAAAGCCTGTATACCATCCTTATTTCATATGGCTTAGGACAATGCATCAAAGTATGCGGGTTCATATATGCAGAAAACGTAATACTTCAAGTCGAAGGATAGTTACACCCGTGGTCGCGCTAAAGATGCTTAGAGCATGAACTAAAAGTTCAAGCAACATCTTTAGGATGGGTCAGTCCGGCATCCTATTATCTCTAGATAATATCTGCCCATGTGCGGATGCGAACACACCGTCATTGACTATGAGACTAAGTCAAACATCCAACACACACTAGTCTCACATGCATTAACGATATCCCACTCTCGTTAATACTCGACTATGGACATTTAGATAAATATTTATTTCAAGATGTTAGTCTCATCAGCAGAA